TGGCACCTGTCACATGTCATTTGTCAGGAGAAAGATGACCTAGCCCACATCTTTATTCAGTGTCCAAGAATAGCTCCCCTGCATCAGCTGCGTAAACAAAATATTAACTTAATCCCACCAATGTACAATTGTCGTTATATACACTACATCCACCCAGGATAGGAGTAACTACTACAAGTCACCGACTTATTGTGATATAATCACACAACAAAATACTCTTTTGCTGTTATCAACATTTCCAGTCAAACACCCCCCCCCCCAAAAAAAAAAAACCGAGAAATATTTTCAGATGCAATGGCCACAGGTTGTATGAAAATTCATTCAAAAAGGCGTAGACTTTACATATTGCAAATTGCACGATGGGGAGGGAGGTTATCAGCAAATGGCAGCAAAAGTAGTAATACCAAAAACTCAACATTAAAAATATAATCTTATGAAGTTCATATTCAGAAAAAACAAATGGACATGTTTTGATAAATACACTTGGCACGTTTGGGATTTTCTAATAGTGTCGGTTAGAGCACACATATTAAATAGTGCATATATTATAAAATGTTTTAAGTTACCGTATTTCATTAACAATGTGAATATAATATAAGATGGAACACGTGGATACAGTATCAGACATTTGAATTGGAAAAATGATTTCAAGTTCACTGCTAGTGTTAACATAAGTGAATAAACGTTAATATTTAGCATGATTTGTTCAGATGTTTATTTTTATCATTCTCTGATGATTTAAATGATTGCTGCTTTCATAGAATGAGTCGACTACTTCAGCCACAGTCACTCTCCAGAATCACTGATCACATCCGAATCAATCGTGAATTGAGGTTGGGGGGGGTATGTCAAATATTGTTTCACCAATATCTCAAGAACCACTGGAAAGATTTTAAAGCAATTTGGTACACACATACTTTGTGATGAGCACCAGATCTGATTAGGTTTTAGTACTAATCTGTGAATATTAATTAACCAATTTGCATAATAACTTTTGTCATAAGCATGATTTGTTGATATTCTGACTGCAGTTTTCGCTTAACAGATGGGTTAAAGCCTGGTTACATGCATACTGTTTTTGTAGTTGAATAGACCAATTTGCATTTTTGTTGCATACAATTTACATATTTATTAAACAAAAGATTAGTTGTGTGAAAAAACATTCTGGTTTTTCAAGGCTTTGATTCAATGAGTGTATTTTGTATAGCTGAAGATTTTTTTAGATTAAATGCCGTCCATGATTCGTGAGACTTTATCTGAAAAAATGTAGTGGGCGGACCTTACGTACAGGTCAGTCTTCGCGTGTGTAATCCCATGGTAATGTACTGAAGTTAGAAGACAGCCAATCAGTGATAGTACAGAATTATGTGCCGACTGTGTAGTTGCATAGCAATTCACCAGGCCATTCTTGAATGTATTCAGAATGGTTGGATTACAGGCTAACGGTTGTGGTGTCACAGTTACGATGGCGGGGATTTTAGTGTATAGTTTTTTACTCCATATAAACACAACAATACAAAGTAATCACGTGTGTTTATAATGGCGGGATACTGGTTAATAAATCATAAATGAAACAATAATCAAGATAAGTGACGAAGTTACACAAGGGCGTTAGCGAACCACGACATGGCGTTAACGAGCTTCTAGTTACTAAACCAAAGTAGCAAAAATGTTTTTTATGAATTTCGAGTTACAATTGTTTGCCACTCTGAAATGAGTAAAAGTGGGCATGGTTTGGACAAAAATGAATGCGGTCAGGCAAAATAAGTATAACACGGAGTGGACGTTACATATAACTTCGAGTCCTACTTCGAGGTATAACAGCCACAATTCAAACTATATTTAAATGGAACAAGATTGTTGGTAACAAACCGGCATCCACATTAATGATTAAATTACCAACACTGTTCAGATCAACTTGTCCCGAACAGATGGCCATTGAACCCAAATTTTACTCACTATATCATATAAGAAATTCTTATTCTAAACGGTGAGCAAAAGTTTTCTTGTGAAATGTATTTGATTTCAAATAGTCAACTCTTAATCTTATTCCGAAGCAAAGGCGACAAGTATTATTTTTCTAATTTTTTTAGCGAAACGTTTCTCACCACTTATCTAACCTCGTATAGGCATGTCAGTATTAAGCTGCCACGATAGATATAAAATATCAATAAAATCTATCCTTGTACGACCGAGATCCAGTTCTGGAACGACACAGAAATTGCTGGATTTGTTAGCACAAGCCAACTTGAAAGGTATCGCAAAAATCGTTCCAGATAGATATATGACTGAAAACTAGCATTCGTTAAACAAAACACCATTCGATCATTATTTAAAAAAAATGTAATTAATATGAGAGCATCAATGCCTCCATGAAATCTAATTCTAGAATTGCAGAAAAACTTGATTGTTTATGCATTTTAATACTACTGTCATGAATTTGTTTTCGCGTATCTGTTGACCGACTTAATTAACTGATTATTAGCGAATTGCTGTGTTATGTCTGTCATCGTTTAGGTCTATTTGAAGTTTTGGACGGAACTTGGCTCAGTGATTTGGAACTAATTACCAGATAACCACCACTTTTTAGACTACTCATTCTGACAGTTTACATCCATAGTTATTAATGTAGTGAACGATTAATCAAAAGATATGACGTATTCAGTACTTAGTGTGATTGGCTTTATGATTGAAGGTTACGCCCTAGAGTCTTTTACTGTTTTGTAATTGGTTAGAGTTTTGAAAATGAATAAAGAGAGTTTGAGTTGGTCTTGGCGAATACTCCACGACAGACAGAGTCCGAGAGAGTCCAGGGGCGAGCCTTGACGCAGTCCAGTCTTGGGAGAGTCTTGGGTCAGCCTTGCGACAGTCTTGGGGATTTTTTCCCCAGGGCGCTGTGTCTTATAGAGTGCTCCAAAAGATCGACTAAGACGAGAGCTGAAACGTATTTCGTTGTGTGTGCCTTATTTGACTGTAAAGTACAAGTGACTTTCCCGATCCCGTACCTCAAGGGGACGAGATATAGAGACGAGACGAGTTCCCCCCCCCCCTGACAAGTGTGGAGAACCCGAGAGAAAGAGAGATTTACCCCATCACACTACAATGGCCATCATACGGCCATCTTGACTCGTTTCTAAAAACAAATTCATGTGTGTCATGACACACACACACTTACACACGTGCAGCGGTGAATTCGCAACTCCATGTTCATGGTACGAAATTTGACATCAGGAATATATCATAAATACATGTCAAAATAGATTAATTTCACGTCAACGGTGATTTTTACTTTACATATGATTTCAAAACACCAATGCAGCCATACGCATCATCAAAATTGTTTGAAAAGTTAACAAGGAGCACGCAGAGTTCATCTGTTTCATTATAAAACCAAACCCTTCTTGATTATTGATCAGTAAAATGATATAATATGAAGTATAAATGGTTAGTGCATGATAATAATGAACTAAATACCTATATGCTGATATTTGATGTGCCGGGCGATGCAACGCCCAACTTAACGTCGGAACCAGTAGAGGCCTAGAATAGTGTTTACAAGCTTGAGTTAACAATTCCCGTATCCCAATATCAGCTGGTATGACCACATTGCAAATGTTTTCTATCAGCAGCGACAACAGTAACAAATATCACTCAAACTCAAATATCACTGGAAACATAAAAGGAAGATTTGGCGATTTTACATTGCAGTTGTTTTGGAGAAAGGGGGCCTTGTGGTCGACATTTAAATTGACTGGCATTATATTGCACTCTCAATATATTGCCGTCTATTTTTATCAATATTATAACTCAAATTCACGTCGGTCAAATTGGACACATTGCGCCGAATTTAATTATTCCTTATGATTTGAGAACTTACCTTCCATTTTGTCCGAAAACCCATCTCCACACGGATATACTTCAGCACTTGAACAGAATATTCAGAAGCACAGAATATGCTACAGCGACTGTCAGTGCATATAGTTAAAACAATCGTTTTTGCATCCCGGACCATCTATGGGACGCTGGTACCCGTAATTCTGGGGTGGCGTTGTCGATCAATCGTCAATATTGTATATTCGGCGGTTAATATGCATTTTATATCTTTTTCGAAACAATAAATTTACGCCGTTGCTTAACGCCTTTGAAATGTAAATTCCTGTCCGATGTAAGCACATTGATGTACAAAAGAAGGCATAAAATATGCCATGCTATTTTATTCACCATAACACACATTATTATATATCTGTCACTGAAACGCCATAAGTTACAGCGTGCCGTAATTTTTCGTTATTGCACTGGGTATTTTCATTCTACCATATTAGAAAATTCGAATTCCAAATATGGAACGATTACGCGCGTAAGCGCCCTCTATTAATAAAAACAAACATGGCAACCTCCAGGGTATGACCGGACCCCATACAAAGAAGCTCGCTCAATCTGTTCTAAACTTTTTGTATTTCGGCATTCCCATGATGTATCCTTGGGAGGAAAAGACGTATAATAATGAGGTTATTACGATAAGGTTATTTCTCAGACAGTACGCCGCGCATATACTCCCGTTGTACTGTCTTCGTGCATACTTTTCGGTGTCCTCGTAATAACCTCATATTGACTTTGCACAGGTGAATAAATAATTTATCTTTAAGGCGTGGGCAACTGAATCCAAACCAAACAAAACAGTTTATATTCTTAGGCCAAAAGGCATCTATTTGTTGGTTAGAAAGAATTGTATAAGATTTATAGTCACGCAAACACGATACTTGCTATCAATGCATTTGATGCGGTATTGGACATGATGTGTGAATATATAATGAGATATGATATATTTTGATGAGATTGTACGGCGAAATCCGTTAAATTAAAATTTCCCCATAACCCAATTGTTCAAACTAAATGCCGTTCGCACCAGCATATCATTAAAACAACACGACGTCGTTCCCATGCCCTTCGATTACCCCTGTCAACGCTGATTGACGTAACACAATTCTTACACAACTTACCCGATATACTTCTGTCCCTTCTGATCATAAATTGGATATCCTAGTGATATAATCAGATGGTAATGAGCGTGGCTAATGAATCACGTGTCATACCACGAATCACGTGTCAAATGTAATCTTTGCTCACCACCGTGGCTAACGCCAAATCAAAAAACACAATTGTCAGATAAATCACGCCGATCTGTATTTATATATACTGACGGCATAGTCCAAAATACGTGCTGATTCAGTCGAAAAACGATTTGGGTGAACAGGATAGAACATGACGCCGACATGACGTCTACTAACCTTATTGTTGCAAGAATGGACCATGAAGTAATTACCCATTAATGGTTTCTCTAAATGTATCATTTTTGTTGGCATTGTTATAACTTACTCTGGCGATAGAACAACGACGGAAGGACAAAACAACGGCCACGAAGGTCACGAGAGTGCTTTTGTAATTCATCGACCGTAGTCAATCATGTTTTGCAGGTGAATATAAAGTCCGGTCTTGAAATATGGCAGCGATAATATTCAAGGACAGCGTCACATATAGATATATTTCAACGCTATTTAATGAGTTATCCATATGGGGACGAGTTAACGCGATCAATAAAATCATTTATCTTTTCTCTGAAAAATATCGAGTACCATATGTAGTAGACTTTTTACATTGAGAAGTAAGTTCGTCACGTTGCCATTCGACCGCCGTGAACACATTCAAGCCTATCGAGTCAAAGAAGTTGTGCGTGTAGGTGAATGTACTCTGAATATATTATAATTGGAGGAAACATGCAACAACTTCATTGTAAATGTCTAACTATGATAGGGGAAAAATATAACATGTAATTCAGACATCCTGCTAAAGTACCAAGTATATCACTATAACAATCTATATAACATCTGAAAGCTTAGATATATGCGAATACGGTAGTACATACGTACCAATGTATATCTAGGGGATTACCTGAAGGCTATTTCGCTGCTGGCGTTTTTGGATATACCGACTAATGAAAATACCTTGTTCTAACACTTTCATTCACGCGAATGTCTTATATATTGCGTCTCGTTTTTTCTTCTTTATCTGCTATTGTTTTTATAGCGATCTCCAAATAGCAACAATCCACTGAACAGTTGGGCAGTTTTGACAGGCTGTAGTCATTACAAAATTGAAGCATACATACAAAATTGGAAATTTCTTGTGCATTATCACGAACAAACTGCTCACAAAAAGCAACAATCCAGATTGAATTTGGAGCCGAAAACCTCACAAAGCATAAAACAGACTTTATATTTCTTTGACATACAAAAATAGCAGCAGGTAACCTCCATACCTCCATATGTATGTTTTCAGATGATGTATATATTGTTATAATTGTAGAATACTCAGTAACTTTTAAAGAATGTCTGAATCAGATATTATTTGTTATCTCGTCTTTCCATTGTTACTACCTTAAATATCTCTCATAGTGTATTTATGAGGACAATAGAGAAATGTTATAACCACTATACTCAGAAACGCAAAAGAAGTATTCATATATAACACTACATTGTCTTTCATATAACAGTATAGATCTTAAATGCAAATGGCCGTTCAGATCTCGCCATGAACGAGAGGGCCGCGAGACTTGCCGTTGCTTTTCAAACAGTGTTGCATTCCCTGTTACATTGGTCAGAGGAACAGTGCATATGATGACGGGAGAAAATGGAAGTCAATCTCGCAACTCTCTAACTGTCAACGAGATCTCGACGGCCATTTACTTCTAAGGTATATTGAGCGCAAAACGCAAGAGAGGCATCATGGGAATACTGTAGTGATAATAAAAGCAGCGATAGCCGCATCACATTTCGTCATTTGCGTAAATTATTAAATTGCATTATCAATTTAGCAAGATGTGAAAACATTTAGCAATAACTTACACACTACTGCTTTGAAAAATATACAACACTACATAATGGTAAATGTAGATATGTTTAAGAAATTACCGTTAACAAAGTTCTGAGGATTGATTCGTTTCTATTTCGAGAGCGTTCGATGAAATATACTAATTGCTGAATCGCGTATTTCAATCACGTATTTAGGGCGTGTCCAAATATATACACTTACGTCATGTGTTGGTAGCGGTATTCTTCTATGTGAATAGTGAATGCAAGGTTTTAAACTCAGGTTACATCATAATACATGTAATACATCAACGTATTTAACAAAGATTTCGACACTAAGGATTCAACACAATTAGAATTATTTTGCATTTTGTTTTGATGAAAAGTCTAACTGCGTGAATCAATCACTACACATATCATGCAAACAGGGCATTTTACTAACATATAGCATTTTAGTCAAAGACACCAGCGATTTAAAATTGTTAATTTATTTATCACTAATAAAGTGAACAATAAGTCAGTAGCAATATAAACCAATAGCAATTACGAATCTGAGAATGAAACATGCTAATATTGTTGTAAACGTATTCACAAATGTTCTTAGTGAAAATAAATATAAACAAATAAATATCACTTACCCGAGTATTTGTCTTGGAACGTCCCGTCAATGAAATGCCTTAATATCATATCAAATTATATGTAATTTCATTCAAAGATTGGGCTTTAGGTCAAGAAAAAAGAAAAGAAAGAAAGAATGCAATGAGAACTCATTTCCACAATTCTGTAATAATTGTTTCATTTGTTAAACATTGCATTTTAAAATTGTCTTTATAAGAGGCAACCTCTAGTCCTTACATTTCGCAAACCTCGTGAATCAAAGGAGACAAATTGGGTCAGAAATCTAGGAAACAGGAGCAAGTATATCTACAGGCGATGTTGTGCTATTTAATTATACACAATCAGTTTATATTGGTCTGACAGACATATTCTTTTGCTGAATATATTCATTTCGTGCGGAGATACTCCTGGAAGTATCAGTCAGCATTACTATACTTCTACACAAATAAAATCAATTTGATGTGTGTTCATTTGCCAAAGTTGATTTAATGCTCAGACATCCCATTATCTCACGCAGCGAGTATCTGTTTGCGAGCGTTTAGTCTTTAGTTAACTTGGCAGATCCGAAGATTGTACGATATATATATGGTTAGTGGCAAAAATAATGGATTTGTCAACGTCGTGTCATCTGATACCACCAGCGTATAACGTTATGAATGTTGAACATCAAACTTACTCGCGAGGTGACAATATATCATCTGAATGACAGAATACGCAGTAAGCGTAAACATGGCGGCATGTCTCGGAATTTGGAAGGACGATTTGAGGATCTGTTATATTACCCAAACATATGTTTTAAATCAAGTGATTTTGCTACTTCATCCTCGTCCTGCTGCTCATACCATTTCCGTATATAACGCAAGATTCCGTATTAGTTTTCATTCTGTTTTTTTAATATTATTTTTTTCTATGAAACCTACGTGATGCAAACTATGATATTTGATAATGATTTCTCATTTCATCAATGATTTCTTGAACTACAAGAATTCAATCAAAACCCACGCTCTCGGGCATTATACCGTGCTTAATGAAGAATGATTGAAAAGCCAAAATGAAATTTTCGCAATATGTGCACGTCTGATATCATCAATAACATTTTCATTTACAGAGTTGAATATTAGAAATATGGCCCCCTCTTTGAACATCGTGATTGCACATTATTACTGCCACGGGATACTGCAATACAATGGTGGTCGATTGATGTGTAAATTGAACAGCACCACAACACTATGAGTTGAATCAGCTGTGACTGGCGTATCAATAAATGAAAACAAGTTTTTTTTCTTCAAATGAATCAAACAAGCCAAGCGGAATTTTAATTTTTTGTATCAATCATTTTATTGATGAGATCACAGGATCATTCAAGCAATTTTGTAACGCAATCCTCGGGGTTGATGAATTCATAAATGCTTAGTTAGGTAGCGATTCAGAGTCAGAGTCAAATATTTGCAGGACCACTCGCATGTACGAAGCGTTACCTCGAATGTGATAATTTTGACTTTATATGGCACATTTATATAAATTATACACGTGCTCTAGAGAATGTCATGAATAATTACACAAAAAACACGTGATTTCCCGGTCGATATTTTTCAATTTGGAGAAAGCAATTACATTTGTAAAAACAATGTTTAGCGCTGCAATCCAGCATATGCCACTGTGATAACACATATTATAAGTATATAAAGTTGCCAACACGTCTACGGCACAGGGGGTCACCCCAGGCGTAAATGGAAATGATTGTATTATGAATGATAATACTCAATTTGAACTATTAAATATTCTACCTCTAAAAACTGTCTTGTTTACTATATATAATGTATAGGTTTAACATTACATTTGTAACTGTTATCAGGGCGCGTAACTAATGCTACCCTTTATCTGCAAAACACCTATTCACAAACGACGGCTTGCCTGTATTTCATTTTTGTTATTAGACATGATAGCAGAATACGATGAACATTGTGAGTGAAAATTTTACAAAAAGAAATTGAAATGGCGAACACACGTGAATCATTGTGTATTCAAGTGTCTTAATATTGTCGCCTACGTGGAATTTAATCCGAGTTTAATTTGCGCGTACTGATACAAAAATACGTAGTTTCAGGTCGTCGACCAGAGAACAATTGGGCCATATTTTCACCAATTGTTGGGAAAAATAACGTATCAATCTATCACACGATGATATTTGCATGTATTGAATTCGTACTGTCACAGGTAAATCCAACACTTGTATCAAAATCACAATATTTCAATTCGTGACACACTGTCGCTACTTGTTTCGAAAAGTACGCTCATCTAGACGTGGCAAGCACTTGCAACGACAAGTATACATATCGCAATATTTCGACCCATACAGACTGTCGCTACAGGTCTGAACACGACAATACGCATCAATCTCCCGCGTACGAAACAGTACAATACACAATTACTTTCGACGTGTTAATGTAATAACAGAATACGCACTGTTTTGCCTTGAGTAGTCGATCTGTTTATTACTGTTGGATATTGTTTCCAAAAGAGACTTGCCCAGTATATTATTGAGAAAACATACGCCATACATATGTTTGTAACCATGACCTACTTATTATGAAATTATAACATAACTCGATTTGACCCAAATTTCTTACGACTAACTGATACCATTGACA